GTATTCTTTAATGTTTAAATAAAGCCTTATTTGTTCGTCTGTTTTGCACATCCTCCTATTAATATCTAATAATAAAATTATAAAATGCAATAACGTGCTTTAACCAGTAGGTGTCCCTTTCTATCAGCTGTGCACCGTTATGGCGTAAATACAGCCTATCTACCAATTGGATCAAATATAAAAGTCAGCCGAATTAGTGTTGATACTGCAAGGAGACGTATTGTGTGAAAAGAATGTAAGATGTTGTTTAATTGCTTATATATTTAAGATCCACGTCAAGTTTTCAGTTTTGGCGGCAGTTCCTGTTTGTCTAGAAGTCTTGTCATCAGGGCTCTATACATAGAGTTAACTACGGCAGATATGTCATATTTAATGCAGCCGAAACGTGTATTACAATGCCGTTATGTGATGACTTTCAAAGAGAAAAGCAAGCACACTCGGAATAATGTATTATTTAATTGTTTTATACACTCTATGGTTGCTACAGAGGATTGTGGGTAATGTAATGTCTTCGGCCATCCAAAACTCATAGAAAACGACTTGTTTCTCAGAATTGAAGGGGAAAACGTGACAAAAGCATTGTACACACACTAAAACCTATCAATGTTGTGTAATTAACAAGGATAATCTGGTGTTTTTGAGTTGATGAGTAGTGGAGATATCACTGTCAAATCAATCGACAGTAAGGGGAATACTTACTTCCGGGTGTACAATTCTCCGTTATCCAATGGGAATGGACGCTCACATTGCCTTTGACAGCCTCCGACACAAACGAATGCCGTGCTTCCCTAAGCGTCAAATACCGACGCCGATGGGAATACATTGCAATCAGTTGAAAGCTCTTTGCGTCCGTTTATGAAGCTGAAGGAGCCTCGGCGCGTCACAACTGGACGCCACAGGACCCTGACCAAGCGTCGCTCCTGGACGCTTAGGGAGTGAGAGTGTGTTGTTCATTCAGCTGCTCCTCGGACGGTCCCATTTGCTGAGTTGGGAAGTTATTCTTCCAACTGAAGTGCGTTCATGAACTTTAAGTCATAGTGTTGTCGGCCTATTTCATTGCTATTGAGTGTTTACTACGGAGGCCCTGAAGTTCAAAACACATCTACGTTTACCTTTTTTACAAACTGTTTTAGTGTTTAGTACTTTTTGCGGTTTTCAAATGTTAACAATATTTTTTCGAATGTTTTTCTTTTATGTTTTGTCAAAAAATAATGTTTCAACCTTCAGGGCTACCGCAGAATAGCAATATTTTTGCATGACAACGAAGAGCATAACAAAAAATGTGATCAGATGAATCATGAAATTAAGTATGTACCTACATAGATGACAAATGTACGAACTTCTAAGAGGCCATATTCAGCTTTTCGGGTTTCCCCTTTCCTGTAGTGTGTTCTATAGGTTTTAGTGCATGTAAATGGTCTGCCAAGGCTAAAATCCCTGTGTTCCCTCCAGAAGGAGTTTCTCTCCCACAAACTCCCCCCCCCCCCCCCCACACCTGCCTGAAATGCCTCTATTGGGCTCCTTTGTTTACTTCCTGAACATCGTGACATCACTACATAACACTTGCGCTTCTATTGGCTAGCGCTCCACTACATTTTACGTGATAGGCTAAGGGGCGGGACATCTCTAAGGTGTATCCCAATCACAACAGAGCCGGCCAGCTAACCAATCAGAGCAGACTGGGCTCTGGTTTCAGACAGAGGGTGAAAAGAGGTGCACTTTTTGAACATAGAGTACCTTTATAACTTGATATAATAAGCTTGTCATTAGTTTGCAGCAGTGTGGCTCTGACAGTAGGATATATATCATACGTTAAAAAGACATGACACCCTTGATTAATAAAGTAACTCTTAGTTGTTGCTCTAAATAAACTGACTTCCTGTCAGCTCTCACTGATCCTGAGAAAAACTATTCTCGTGATTTCCTGTACTTTCTGTAAAAGTGGGCTAATAGAACCAGGAGCAGAAAAAGTAGGCCAAAATATAATGTTAATAAATAAAAAAATGATAATGTAAGAGCAGTATAGCCTCAGCCTACATTCCTCAGTATTTTTAGTTCATCTGAAGCCTGACAACAGACACGTTTATTTGCTGAATTCAGCAGGAAAACGTCTGCATGTTTCACAGGGAGGTGACACCTGTCTGAGGATAAATATCACCTGTGTGTGTGTGTGTGTGTGTGTGTGTGTGTGTGTGTGTGTGTGTGTGTGTGTGTGTGTGTGTGTAGGTCAGGACTTGACAGAGAGGGAGGAAATCTTTTATTATGCTCATTTTCAGGTTCATATTTGTATTTTGTTTCCAAGTTCTAGTGAAAACTCTTCTTCAGTTCAGTATTTGTCAAAAACACAAAAAATAACTTTCTTTCTTTCTTTGTTTTTATTCCAATTAGATTTGATCAACTTTGTTTAAACTATACAAGCAGTCTGCAAAGAGGTGGACAAAATAAAACGTAGATAACACAACAGACAGCTGAGATTTTAATTTCCCTCGTTTGTTAAACGACTGCAAACTAATGTTTAATGATCAGATTTTGTTAATGTTCCAATTAACTGACAATAAATGTTATACCAATATAATGTAATTTAAGCATGAATCCTGAATCTATCCCTTTAAAACATACCAGACAAAACCATCATTTTTCCACCAGTTTAAAATGATAATAACTAGGGGTGTAACGGTATACGTATTCGTACCGAAATTATTCGGTATCGGCCCTTCGGCTCGGTACACCCGTCTACCGAAGTGTACCGAACGAATATAACGCTAAAAAATTGAGAACGCGAACAACTTTTTGGAAGTAATCTCAGGTGCTGTGTCGCAGCATTCAGTGTAATTTGCTCACATTGGGTTCAACGCGTCATAGAGCGACCAAGTCATTTAATTGGACGAGAGGCATACTATGAGGGCTGGTCACAGGGATGCTTTCAAATGTAGTCAGTCATTTGAGGAACTGTCGAAATGGCGAACGCAGATAAAGTTGAGTTCGAAAATCCTCCAGCATCATTGAAGCAGGAGACATTGTTAGTGCCAGCAGATCTGCCCTTTCGGCAAGCAATGTGGACAAGTTAATTTTTCTTAAAAAGAACATGAAAATACAATGACAAGCAAGTCCTAATGTCAAGCTGGCTGCTTAGGTACTAGTACAGTACAGTCAGGGTTGGGTTGTAACGGAATACATGTAACGGCGTTACGTAATCAGAATACAAAAATCAAGTAACTGTATTCAGCTCGCGTTACATTTGAAAAACGAGTAATCTGATTACAGTTACTTTCGTAAACCTGAAGTGAATACATTTTGGATTACTTATTGGAATTATTGGTGGAAAGATTTCCTCACAACATTTAATATTCATTACTAAAGGTACAGCCAAATCATCACAGCGCACAAAACCTATTACCGCCGCAGATGGACCAAAAAAGGGAGCGTTTGAAAAATATTCGCGGGTCCACTCAGTGAAACAATAACAACGAAACATGGAGGAACAAAAGTCTGCGTTTAAATCGTGTGTGTGTGTGTGTGTGTGTGTGTGTGTGTGTGTGTGTGTGTGTGTGTGTGAGTGTGTGTGTGTAGAGGTGTGTGTGGTTAAAACACATCAGCCTGCGGTCGCTCTTGATCCTTTCTAATGATTCTGAAGGTAAAGTGAAGGCGGTGCGTGAAAGGCACTGCGCGCTCTTCTTCTCAAAGGCTGAGTTAACCGTCCCGCAGAGATTTCATGAAGTGAAGGAGGTTTTTCTTCTATAAAACAGCTGTGGGCAGCAGATACTGTGAGTGTCACGGACATGAATTCATAGATCAAGGCAGACTGGTGCACACACTCTCCTGTTTTGCCGATTCGGTACTTAAACAAATATAGCTCTACACCCCTGGCCGAAATGTCCTTAAGAATGAAGTCCGAGTTCGACATTTTAATTCATGTCCTGCCAACACTGGCAGGACAGAAGGCGACACGCCCGTTCTAAGCCGTGTCCCTCACTCCTCACATCCCAAGCTGCATCCCCAAAAAGTGTATTATGTTGTTACATCGTTTCAGATGTTATGTTTCAGTTGTGCTCTTGATAAGCCATTAAAACAGTAAAAACACGTTCAGTTTCCTTTTGCTTTTTGTGTCTCCTGTTCACCAAAACATACCCATCTGTGATGGAAAAAGAAAGTAATCCAAAAGTAATCTAAAAGTAATCTGATTACGTTACTTTTTTAAGACACGTAACTGTAACTGTATTTGGATTACTTTCAGAGCCATGTATTCAGTAATCAGTAACTGATTACATTTACAAAGTAACCCTCCCAACCCTGAGTACAGTTCAAATACAGATGATTTCAGTTCATCGAAATGCTGCACCTTAATGTTTATTTTATTATATTTTGTATTTATTTGAGTGAATATTCACAGTTTAATAATAATTAAAAACCCAAAACTAATATTTTATGTTTTGTGAGTACTAGTACAGTAAAGTTAAAATACAGATTATTTCAGTTCATCGAAATGCTGCACCTTAAGGTTTATTTTATTATATTTTGTATTTATTTGAGTGAATACGTTATTCACAGTTTAATAATAATTAAAAACCCACAAAAAATATTTTATGTTTTGTGATCATTTTTTCTGCTGTACCGAAAACGTACCGAACCGTGACCTAAAAACCGAGGTACGTACCGAACCGAAATATTTGTGAACCGTTACACCCCTAATAATAACTAAATCACCCTTAAAAAAAAGTTCATGACTTCCACTAGTTATGTGTGCTTGTATAGCTTTTTTGAACACACAATTTTGACACAATACATACATTTTGTGTCAACCAGACATTGAAAGAACTGGCAGGGGTTTATTTCTGAGTAAATAGTTTTCTGATCACTTCAAGTCATGACGGCATGTAGTGCAATTCGTAGAATAAACATTAGCACATACTCATCAGTATTTTATGTGATTAGATTCTGAAAAAATAACAGTGTTTACAATCCCCCGTTGAATACATTTATTGCATTTAGTGATAGTGAATCTTTCTGTAGAAAATCAAATGGTTGTTCTACTCGGTGTGATTGACAGGAGAGACGATCAGTGGAGCAGAATTTTTACCACCATCGTTGTTACAAGGACAAAAGTATGGGTAGAGTTTCTCTTTGAAGCAGCAGCCAGTGAAGGAGTAGATCAGAGCTGCAGCATCAACATCATAAAAGGAGACCAGACCCTCCTCATAATCCACAAACACCCCCACCTTCTCAGGCTGAGACTTCAGAGAGAGACGGACTCGAGGGCCAGCACAAGCTATGTACTGATTTTCATTCCTCAACCATATCGCCCAGTAACCATTCTGAGGAGTCGCTGGGATCTGTCCCTTCCTGTTGATCGATTCTCTGACCACTCCTAAATCCCACCCAGTCTTCCCTTGAACCTGAACCTCGTAATAAAATATTCCTGAAAAGAAACTCTGTTTTGCTAAGACATTGACACAATGATCAAATCTCTTTGGATTGTCTGGGAGATTCTTCATAACATCAACATGTCTGACTTGTTTTCCATCATCAGACAGGATGAGTGCAGGTTGTGCTGTATCAGGATCAAGAGTCACCTCCACCTCATACTGCTGGACCCTCTTCAGCTCGAGCTCAGAGAGCAGCTTCTTCATCTGTTTACTGAGCGTCTCCTCCAGCTGAGTCACAGCTCTCCCCACAGTCCCCTCATATGAAGGTGGATGGACCCTGACTTCTGTCCAGTTCTTGGTGGGTGGAGCAGCGTTCAGGGACGTGAAGCTTTGGAGGAGGTGGAGCTGGTCTTCAGAGCGTGAGAGCTGCTCCACCTCAGAGCTTCTCTTCTTCAGCTCAGAGATTTCCTGTTCCAGCTCTTTGATGAAGCCTTCAGCCTGTTCCTCTGTCTCTCTCTGCTTCTCTTTGATGGTGTCGATGAGCTCGGCCTGGCTTCTCTCAACAGACTCCTTCAGAGCGGTGAAGACCTGAACACCATCTGCTATCCCTCTGTCTGCTCCTTCCTTACTGAGCTCCACTGAGCGATTCATCTCCTGAATCTTCAGTCGTCTCTTCTGGATCATCTGCTGAATTTCAGCCTCTGTCTTCCCCAGCTCAGCCTTCTTTCCTTCATATCCTTCTTTCAGAGGAACAACATCATGTGTCTTGTGGTCTGAATAGGTGCAGAGCATGCAGACACACACCTGGTCGGTCTTACAGAACAGGTCCAGCAGTTTATCGTGCTTCACACACATCCTGCTTTCCAGGTTCTCCTCAGGGTCGATCAGCTGATGTTTCTTCAGGCCTGGCCTTGTCAGATGAGGCTCCAGGTGAGTCTCACAGTAGGACTCCAGACACACCAGGCAGGACTTCAGGGCCTTCAGTCTGGTTCCAGTGCAGACGTCACAGGGAACTTCTCCTGGTTTGACAACTTGTTGCTCTGAGCTGCTGCTGCTGGCTTTCTGTTGAGCTGACTGTCTGAACTGAGCAGCCATCTCAGAGATGAAAGTGTTGACCTGCAGCTCAGGTCTTGTGTTGAAAACCTTTTTACAGTTGGGACACTGATAAGGAACTTTAGTATCCCAGTGTTGAGTGATGCAGGCTTTACAGAAGTTGTGTCCACATGGTATGGTGACTGGATCAGTGAACACATCCAGGCAGATGGAGCACAGAAACTGATCTTCAGTCAGCAGACAGCTGGCAGCAGACATGACTACACTCTGAAATAGTGTGACAAATCAAAACTGTTATTTCATATATTTGTATTATTTGTAAAATCTTATTATAAACAAGGAGTCATCTGTCGATATATTACATTCATTAGCTGAGTTAACCTGTTACGCACCATCCGCCCGGTACCAATGTATCTGTGCCCTCTTTGAAATTATTTCTGATAATCCATAAGCAATAAAACTGCTTTTTCGTTTCCAAATGCCAGAGCTAGAGATCGCTTCACTCTGCTGCACATTTACATGCGCGCAGCCCCCACCTTTTCTCTTCACAATGTGTGTGTGTGGGAGCCTCCCCCTTCGATTATATTGGCTCTAACGGTCAGAAAGAGGTATCAACCATCCAAATCGACTAAGGGGGGCCAGAGATATGGAAAAAAAAACATTTTCACCCAAATCACCTCAGAGGTGGGGTGGTTTTGGCTAAACCTCTCTAAAAAGGTAAAATGTCACTTGTTTTGCATCAATCTTGATACAGGGTACTTATTATATGTTGTACTTTGGATTCCTAAAGCTTTTAGTCTACTAACCCATCATCCAAGGGTAGTTTTCACTATCTGTGAAAAATAATGTTTGGACGGATACTATAATTTACAGTTTTTTACTATGTAAAATCTGAATTTTCTTTAAAATAAAAAACATTTATATTAATTCTGACACTTCTACATCCAACTCACAGATGTATCCTTGCTTTGATAAAAGAAATTATTCATATAACCCTTTTAGAAGTTAAGTTGTAGTCATTTGTTTTGGGCATGTCATTTTCTAGCCTGAAACATGAAAAACAGGCTTGGTGCTTAACAGGTTAAGGAGAGCTCATTCCAAAAGTTCCCGCAGCCAATTCTCGTTATTGCATCACACAGGACTTTGCGTCTCCCTAGTGTACATTTAGATTAAGGGTTTTACTTTTTAACTAGGCAACATAAATAAATAAATAAATAATGATACCTTCTAATATATTAAGCATTACAATGATTACATCCCAAGCCCTCATATTCTTCTTATTATCATCCTCTGAAACTGTTAAATCCAACAAGAATTTATTTTTAAACCACAAACCATCCTTCTCATTGCTTATTTTGCAGTTGCACCTCTTTTGGACAGATGAGTGGAACTTTCTGTCTGGGTACACTGAAGAAACTTACATTTAATTAAATGTATTATGTCAACAAATGTTAAATAACATTGTTGCATTAGGTTAGTTGAAAGCAATAATATTAGGTTTAACCTAATATTTTGTTATCTAAACTTTAAACAGTTATCTGAAATTTGTTGAAATAACACATTTAATTAAAGTCAAGGTATTTTCAGTGTATAGTTGAGGTTTTGATTTCTTACTCTTTTAAAAAAAACTGTAAATGTTATTAGCTGTTCTGCTTTGCAGCTCTAACTACAGAAACAGCAAGGTTGAAAAATGAGGGTTCAGTGCATTGCTCTACTTACATTTAGTAAGTAGAAATGGTAAAATATAAATCATTTCAGTGTGTTGTGTACTCACCAGTGTTTGGTAGAGACTCAGCTGTGTTGTTGAGAGACAGAGCGACTTGTCTCCACTGCAGCTGTTCTGTCACTCAGACAAACTTTCACTTTCCATTCTGGGAAGTTGATGCTCTCCTATTTCACTGTAGCTCCACTTCTCACTGGCCCGTCGCAAAGAGGGAGTGGAGGAGGATCATTCACTGACTTAAAACATATTAAAAGGGCCCTATTCTGTTCATTTTCAGGTTCATATTAGTATTTAGTGCCTCTGGGACATATCTCCATGCTTTAATGTTCAAAAAACAACAGAAAGGGATTTTAACAGGGATTTTAGCCTTTGCAGACCATTTACATGCACAACACTCACAATGGGCAACCACACACAAAAGCTGTATTTATCTTATGATGATAAATGAATCAACAACAATTGTATATTCCAATTTTCTTTTGGGTATGCAAAAATGTGTAAAGTAGCTGAAGCTGTCGTAGTAGCAACGAATCATTGGGGAGTAATAGAATAAAGTGGCATAAAAAGAAAATACTCCAGTAAAGTACATCAAGATTTTATTTGAGTGAATCTACTTTCCACCAATAGTGCTTCCTGCTGTGGATGACTGTCATTTTAAAATATGTCTTTAGGTTTCGGCTCAAAGTTCATAAAGGTTGATGATTTTCCACCTCCTCCTCGTCACAGAAACAACAACCCTCCTCATATAATACATCTTTATATCATTAACTCAGATATAATTTCACTTTGTTCAGTAATACTGTATAATATCACAATGTGTTTGTTTCTTTACATACATATGGTGGTGTGTCTAAAAACGTCTCGTTGTCCACTCTGTTCATCTTTGGTCTGTAAAACCAGAGTTTTTTGCAGAACAAGAAGAAAATTCCATCCTGCAGTTATAGTAATAATCCGTTTCCGGTTGTTTTTCCACAGGTGGGCAAAACAGGAAGTGGTAACGTCCCTGTTTTCTGGATCATTGGCTCTTCAGCAGCGTTGCCGGATGCTTGGTGATGATGGACGATGGGAAACAGTCTTTATTTGGGAGGGTCTGTCCTCGCGGTGTCAGGAGACCTACGGGACAGAAAGAAAACCCATTACATTTCACTGTAATTTAAAAATGTTCGGTCAAACTCTAATGGAAACACTGCTTCCTGTCTATGGCTCTCAGCTGCAAGCCCATTGGTTCCTACTGGGGTTGGTTTCGACATAAATCTTTAAAAACCCAAGCTTATAGTTTCTTTCTTAAAAAGACTCAGTAGTTTCCTGAAAGCAGAAGCAATGCACCTCTCAGTACATCTTCACCTAAATTATTCATCCCCCCCCCCCGCTGTTCGACGGCAGCTTGAATCCTAAAAGAGCTGGAGGAGTCAGACAAGGACGATCCGGATTACAGCGGGAATTCATACATCACTCTGCAGACAGCATCAACATGCAGCGCGGGCCTAAACGCTGACAGCTGATTAAACATGGAGGTGACGCTGCGCGATGCGTTCCTGCAGTCAGAGCACACGCTAAACATCTTGGAAGGGAAAGGCAGAACTCTGAAAACAACCTGGGAACTGAGACGTGGTTACAGAATTCTAGACTATAGTTCAGCAGGAAGAAACAGGAAAGATGATTTAGCCTCAATCAGGTTATATGCAGTGTTTCTTTAAAGTCTCGAAAACATCATAAATAATCAGCTTATTCTGGACAACTTTTTTTGTTCCCATGTGGTTTTGACTCAGTGGGATTATGTTTGTATTACTATATCATTACTTTACTAATGTATGACTTACTTCAAATTAGAACAGGATTAGACATGTTTACATGCTTTAATGTTCGAAAAGGTCATTGGTCAAAAAGGTCATTGGTTAGCTGGCCGGCTCTGTTGTGATTGGGCAACCGCTTAGAGATGTCCCGCCCCTTAGCCTGTATCACATACAGTACAATGTGTTGGAGTGCTAGCCAATAGAAGCGTGAGTGTTACATAATGATGTCACTATGTTCTGGAAGTAAACAAAGGAGTCCAATGGAGGCGTTTCAGACAGTGAGGGGGAACACAGGGATTTTAGCCTTTGAAGACCATTTACATACACAGAAACCTATAGGAAAGAGAAAACCCATAAAAAGCGGAATGGGGCCTCTTTAAATACTACTTATTGTTTCTAGACCAGCAACAGTTATGTTTAAAACCCTGAAGTCACTATACAACGGATTTAATATTTAAGTTCTAAAAGTAATTTTGCAGTATATTTTCTGTAAAAGCTTACTATTTTATACGACGCTTCTGGATGAATATGACTGTTGCACTAATGTGTATTTTAATTTAAACTGCATTACAAGCCAAATGATGTGCTCATTTTAACCCCTTTATAATGTGTTGGCTAGTTTCTATTCTGCAGCAAAAAATTAAATTGTAAAAGTTTTGTCCTGAGACAACCACATATCTCTCTAAAGTCAACTTTCCATTTGTTTCTCTTAAAAACAACCCTTTTTTCAGCTTGAGGATGATGCATTTTCCAACATCACATACAGTGACAAAGGCTGTCAGATTAATGTAGAAGTATAAAGTTGCATAAAATAAAAATACTTAAAGTTAAGGTAAAGTTGTACTTCAATTCAGTACCTGGGAGTATGACCGACGGAGGACGTCCTTGGTTTGAAGTAGAAAACAAAATAAAAAATACCACCTTTTTGTTTATAGGTTTCAGTCAAACTGAGCAGAAACAAGGTGAAAAGAAGCAGCTGCAATCTTTCAAAAAAAACATGTAGGATGTTCACTCTTTGGATTTGCATCTCGCCATGTTCACATTCAAAGTAAATAGTTGTCCTTCCTTCCAAGGAGAATTGGATTTCTGTCTGATTGAGCAGACTGTGATTTGTTCCTCTATGTTTTTCCCTCCCGGTGTGACTGAAAATACATTTAAAGTACCTCTGCAGGCTTCAACACACACTCCAACATACAGACAAATGCAGACAGGTAAAGTCACACACTTTGTTCAAGGACAGTTCTGTTTGAACAGAAAGAAACTCTAGGCGAACGGATGGCAGCGAGACAAAAATGAGTTCTGCTCTCTGCTGCAATGCCTGATTACATCTCAGCAAATTACACCTCGCTCTGCAGACTGTAATGATCATGTACGAGGGTTAGAAATGAAATGTTCAACGCTCCCGGCTGAAGAGATATGAAGAGAAGTCTGCAGGTTTAACCTCTTTAACAGACCTGAAAGCACCTGACACTTTAATTATTAAAAAATTGTCCAAGGTAGACATTTTAGTTACACATGCTGGTGGTGCAACTTACTGAAGGGACTTCCTTCCAATCATGGATGTATAACAAAAACCGGATACAGCGGTGGAGGCGGGACCCCGTTTATTCCTATGAAAGTTGCTCTGTGGCGAATGAAGCCCAAAACCTGTATCTGTAGTTTTTGCTTAAGCCCTGCCTACGATTTCCCGCTCTCGGCTAGGTCAAATGAATGGAGAGGGAAAAACACTCTGGATTCGGCTTTTGGCGCATTTTACAACTTTTAAACCCTAAAGATTTCACTAAGGGTAATACAAGTGTTCGTCGGGGGAAGTTCATTTAGTTTTTAGTTCGTTTATAGCCCAACATTAGCCGCCTTTAGCTTAGCCACCATTAGCTTAGCCACCATTAGCTTAGCGGTGGTGACATGAAGTCATGTGACCGTGCTGTAATTCCTTTATAGCCCAACATTAGCCGCCTTTAGCTTTGCGGTAGTGACGTGAAATCATGTGACCGTGCTGGAGTTCCTTTATAGCCCAACATTAGCCGCCTTTAGCTTTGCGGTGGTGACGTGAAGTCATGTGACCGTGCTGCAGTTCCTTTATAGCCCAACATTAGCCGCCTTTAGCTTAGCGGTGGTGACGTGAAGTCATGTGACTGTGCTGCAGTTCCTTTATAGCCCAACATTAGCCGCCTTTAGCTTAGCGGTGGTGACGTGAAGTCATGTGACTGTGCTGCAGTTCCTTTATAGCCCAACATTAGCCGCCTTTAGCTTAGCGGTGGTGACGTGAAGTCATGTGACCGTGCTGTAGTTCCTTTATAGCCTAACGTTAGCTTTTTACTTCAGAAATCATAAAGTGGTGTTAATATGTGGAGATTAACCTGTTGAACAAAACCTGTAAGTATCATAAAGGTGTGTTTGCCACAGAACTCATTTTCTCAAATATTCAAAAATCCATTGGGAAAACACACAACCAGTCTCTGACGTTAATAAAATAAAGTTTCCGTCTGCAGCTCGTTTAAAGGAGATAAATATTAAGAAGAAACACAATTAGAGAGGACAGAAACAAGCTTAATCTTGTTGGTTACACATTAGTTTAAATCACATTACTGCACAAAGTTATCAGAGGGATGTGTGTGTGTGTGTGTGTGTGTGTGTGTGTGTGTGTGTGTGTGTGTGTGTGTGTGTGTGTTTTCTGTTGTTTCCATGATGAACACAGCAGCTGGGAGTAAACTGGGAAGCAGGCGGCCTTGTTTCCGACATAATTGCTTTGTGATGAATTGTGGCTGGTGCTGAGAAACAATATAGGGCTGCCTTACTATTTATTTCACTTCCAAAGCAAAAACAAACCAGAAATCAAGTCATTAATATTCCAAAGCTGTGGCTTCCTAAAATAGTACATCGAGCAACAAACCAATTACAAAATATATACATATTGTTGAAGCAGACACATGTTTTGAATCCTCCGCTGTAGCTCTGGTGCACATGACAACAAAGACTGTGAAGTAAATGTTCTCACACAAGGAGCAATGTTTCTAAATGCTGTCGCCCTTTAAGAAGGATGGTGTGTTTTGTTAGACTATAAAGTAGTGTTGTAGTCAAGACCACCTTAACCAAGACCAAGACAAGACCAAGACTTTAAGAGGTCGAGACCAAGACCAAGGCTTGTGGTGGTTTGTGTAGCCAAATTGAATTATCGTTGAATTTCCCGACATCTTCACTTCAAGACCGTTTGAGTGTGTGTGAATGCGGAGTGTGTGATGGAAACTTCTGAAGCAATTGGAAACAGGACTCAGAGAGACACGAGGAGAGCAGGAACTTTGATGGCAAACACTGACGGTTTATTTGGAGCTTCGGCCGGAGAATTCACAAGACATGTCATGAGCCACGTGTTGACACAGGTTGAGATCCCAAATCAATTCTCAAGAACTCTTCTGTAGTTCAAGGTTTTAACTAGTTAAGAGTGTAATAATCAACATTCTTCATCAGCGAGACTAAAGAAATATGGACCCTGAATCTAACTAGAGCTGTCGTCCATAGAAAATAATGTGCGGCAGTGAACCTACGTTCCAGAAAAGAAGGGCCTCTAGATGTCCCTGAACAATAAACTACCTCATGTCAGCTTGTGCTCGGTCATAAGCTGGCAACAACAATGCGCCCAAGCTGCCCCTCCTTAAGAGAGATAGCAGCAATACCCGAAGGCCGTAGACCTATGCCATGAGAAAGAGGCAGTGAGAAGAGAAAAATATGAACTGTGTCAAAGGTTGAATACCTAAGGAAATTATTCCTTAACAGAGGGGAGAGGTGAGGGAGGAGAATGCCGTTATAGACCAGTCCCATTTTTACTTGTTGTCTCTTGAGTGAGTGCTTTAAAGTAAGTCAGTGAAGTCACGTGATTGGTTGCATTTCGAACAGGGCGGTTTGCAGAACGTAATTTGTTCCTCTGATCTCTCTTTCTGAGCTCTAATGAACGCTCGCTCCGATCCTCGTGTAAACACAGCCATGGTTTTGCGTCGGCGCTGCTTCTCTGAGATTCAATTTGCTTCCCAGCGAGGCAATCAGATGTGCTGTCCTTCATTAGCAAGAGGAGCATGTTTGTGTGCAGCAGAAAAAGCAGAAGAAGAAGAAGAAGAAGAAGAAGAAGAAGAAGAAGAAGAAGAAGAAGAAGAAGAAGAAGAAGAAGAAGAAGAAGAAGAAGAAGAAGAAGAAGAAGAAGAAGAAGAAGAAGAAGAAGAAGAAGAAGAAGTAGCTGGAGGCGTCAGACGCAACAACACGCCGCCATCTTTGAGACAAACGAGGTGAGATGTCGGAGAGAAGCTGAAGTACGGAGGATCAAATATCTATCATAAGGCTGTTCTTTAGTTAATCATTTGAGCTACATTCTAATTTAAAATACAGATACATTCATCATTTATCCTTATTCATTTATTTACACTGATTTCTTCCCTATTTATATTTTTTGGTATTGTTTATTTTTCTAATTAATGTATTTTATTTGCACAATCATTTCCTTCAGGATAAATAAAGTTGTATTTTCTATTTAAAAAAGGATTACAGGAAAGAGACATTTTAGTTAGTAAACAACGCATTATCTTCAAATTTTCTTTAATGTGTGTTTTTTTCGAAAATAGACCTTAATCTTTCGCGTTCACTTTAAATTTAAGTGTCAATGTTGTAAAATGATAAAAACTGAAAACCGGAATATTTGTTAAGGCTGCAATAAAGAGAAAATAGATAGATGCCATTTATTAAAAGAATACATTTAAATGTATTCTAAAATGGAGCATCAATTTCTTCCAATGTATTTCTGATTTAAACAAATGATTGAGACCTTGCATTTGGTCTTTTGTGCAGACATTCTATGATGAACATCACTGTGTTTTAATCAGAGTAAACTTACAATTAGACAGAGTTAGAGCCACATGGAGGGTTTTCAAAAGACGCTAATGAAAGCAGATAATCAGCCACGACACAGAATAGAGAGACGATGAAGAGCTGTGTTTAAAAAAAACAGCAAATCCTGAACGAGGTTTGGTTGATGTGATGATCTTCATGAAGAGGCTTTTCAAACTCCTCCAGTTAATCAGCCGCTGTGAGGAGTGCTCATGGGTAGCAATTACTCAATCAACACCCACCCACACACACACACACACACACACACACACACACACACACACACACACACACACACACACACACACACACACACACACACACACACACACACACACACACACACACACACACACACACACACACACACACACACACACACACACACACACACACAAAGAGGCTGTGATTTGATAAGGGCCAGCAGCGTCCTCATTAGAATGTATTAGAAGCTGATGTTAAAATTAGATGTTGATGAAATTAAATACACAGAGAGGAGAAAGGGACCTTAGTCACACAAAATAAACATTACAGATTTATTCTCATGTTCCTTTTTTGATATTTCTAACAGTATGTGAACTATAAAACAAAGCTTGTGTCCTTTACACACACGTAGCTGAAATTAAATGTATAGTAAACATGAATGTAATGAATCTCTATCTGTACTGTTTCAGTTGTTTCAGTGCAGTGTTTCAGTCCCATGTGGTCAGGTTCTGGTTCAGTTCTCACCGTGGTGGTTTTGACCCGGCCTCCTGGTTGCGTGCAGGTCCAGCCCGACTGATTGACCAGGAGACCACAACCTTCATCGTCCAAACACGGAGCCATCTCACACCACTGCCGAGTCCACACGATACCAACTGAGGAAGAGGAGGAGTAGACACAGGTGAGTTTCGGTCTTTCTATCTTACATTGCATTTCATTTAGCTGACGCTTTTATCCAAAGCGACTTACAATAAGTGCATTCGACCAAGAAGATACAAACTTGAAGAAAACAGAATCATACATCAGGTTTCATAGCGCCAAACCATTTTAAGTTAACATTACTCTCTATCATGTGACCCAGTTCCTTCCTGCCATTGAACATTCCCTTTGTGTGAAACATAGACATATGTTGAGATAAGATAAGACAAGGTATTACTTTATTGATCCCAATTTGGGAAATGTTTTTGTTGCAGCAACATGAAAAGACATGGAATTGTACAATAAAATAAACAAGAAATTAGAAAATATACATATTTAATTTACAAATTAACAATGACAAAATGTTTAGATAATGTTTAAAGGGGACCTATCATGCAAAATGCACTTTTGTACGTCTTTTATACATGAATATGTGTCCCCGGTGTTCCAGGGAACTCACCAAGTGTCAGAAAACACAACCCTCTCTATTTTCCTCCATACCCAAATCTCTAAAAAAGGGGCTGCAACGGATCTGATAAAAACTGATCCAGATTTGAACACTGTCCTGACGTCAGGACGGTGGTGCTACGGCTATTGGGCCAACTCCACCAATCAGGAAGAGACAGCCACGGCCATTGCCGTTCGAAAGCGCTGGAGACGCTGTAGTACATATGCCAGGCCAGTAGATGGTGCTGTTCTCACTGAATCTGCCCTTGCAAAAACAGAGCTAAAAAATGTCAAATTGAGCAAAATGAGGCATGGCTAAAATGCATGATCTGTTTGGTATTTTGAAGGAAAAAAAAGTATAAATATGCCTTATATAGGTATGGTCCTACACTATATTATTATAATATAGCATGATAGGTCCACTTTAAGAGAATTGATAGGATTACTTCTTTATTTCTACTATATGGTGGGCAGAGTTCCCGTTAGCCGGTAATTACCGGACAATGACCGGTAAAATATGCTGAAGTCCGGCAAATCTAAATCTCTCCGGTCAAAATGTCCGGTCAAAATAATTTTCCCTTAGCGCAATACCGCATCAGTTGCGCCACTTATGTGACAGACAAGAATAGTATGTGACAGACAAAAGAGTATGTGACAGACAAAAATTGTCAATTCTAATGTCTAACACTTAATGTGGAGAAAGAGATGTCCTGTATGGGTTGATTGTGCGTTGATCTGTTGGTAATGCCTCGGGGTTCCGGTGGGCATGTAAACAAATGCATAATGCTGCGCTATACTTTGTGGCCTCATCCGGTTGCATAGCGACGCTTATTGTTTAGGTGTCTTTTAACAAGCAGGTAGTCATATCATTAGCTAGAACTAGCTAGATCTGATCGATATGGACATAAATGCGAGTAAAGTCTAATCTGACAGGAGAGAGAGATCGGCTGCTGCTGACGAGTCGACACGCAGCTCTGCATGATCCCCTGCAGCGGCGAGCAGAGCAAAACACACTTCAGGTTAGAAAATCACACGTAGCTATTTTAATTACCTCTCAAACTACCTAAACTAGTTATAGATATGTTTAGTTTTACTGTCGGGTCACTCATTACTGGATCCGCGAGCTGCATGATACTGACGGGCTGTCAGGAGAAGGAGAGAGCGCTCCGTTTATTATTCCCGCGTTTTTGTAAATTACTGTACACTTTTGAATAATGTAGTTAATCTACTATAATTAGTTTGTTTAATGTCGAATCATATCAATTTGTTTTAAAGCTCAATAAATAACAAAGAAGACCTTTAACCGGCACTTATCTAATTTTGTCCGGAAGATTTCAACTTTAACGGACATGTTGACCGGCAAAAAAATATTCTAACGGGAACTCTGATGGTGGGACTGTTAACTGTGTGCAGAACTTCTTTATCCTCTGAGGATGAAGTTGCTCTGTTCCCACAATTTGAGATGGATTTCAATTGTATTTTAACTTATTACTTTATTCCCTATAACAAAAGACAAACTTGTTTATGAATCATTTATCATTTTCAACTATGGGAATTAAATATTTCCACCAGTTTTCACGCATTGATTTTCTACACAAGTAGGTATTATTTTAAGATAAATGCTGCGCTCATCCATTACCAACTATATGTTTCCTCTCTCCATTGATCTATTATAATGTCTTTATAATAAATAATGTTTCCATATGTTTCTGGTTAACAAGACACACTGCTCTAAAGAACAATTTATAATGTATATAACTTAATTATCCTAACATTATGACATTTTATTGTAAACATACAACTTTTTAGGACAATATCTATAGCACTTTTTCATATTTTCATTTTTTCAACATAACTTTTCAAATGTATTTCCTTTTTCTCAGAGATTCATTTTTATTAAACTTATCTTATTATTTATTCTCATCATTTTAAAACTTTCTATGGAACATCCCACTTTATTGTCTCTATTTTGAAACTGTTTTCTAAAGAGTACGACTTTCATTCTTCAAATCTCCAAAGGAAATGGAGACACAATAAAAGAACCAAACTAATCCCAGTCCAACATCAGAGGACATATTCTGTTTACTGTTCGTCCTCTTCATCACACTCCGCTATTTATAAAGAAATAGGACATTCTCACAACCACATTTGCATATTGCTGCTCTTTGATTGGCCCACTGAGAAAAATACGGGGTGATGAAGAGTAGGAAGATGAAGAGGAAAAGCAGTGTTATTAACATCTGAGAAAACATCGGGTCAAATATATCCTCACTTCAGTTCCTTTTATGGGTCAAGATGTAAAAACACTGGAGCCTACAATTCCCATAATGCAACCTGATAACCCCTTCATCGGTTATTCATACATTGTTACTCTAATGTATAACACACACTAATATAGGGACTTCACTCTTAATTTATTCAGCAGAATATGGAACAAACATCTGTCAGCAATTAACAGTGTGTGCATCTCGTTAAAGATGGCCGCCGGTCCCAGAGGAGGAAACAGAAAGTGATGTCCTAATTATGCAGAGAGCTTCTCCCATAACAACACAAAGCAGAAAAGCATTTCCTGAAACAAAGCATGTAATTAAGTATACGTGAAGTCTTCTCATATGATTACCATGAACACATCAAAGCTCTCAAACACTTATCATGTATATATTTATCATATTTATCCTTTCATGTATTATGTAACTCACAATAATGTATGATAATGAGATGGTTTGCTTGACCCTTGTGCAAAACAAGGACACTGTATGTAATGATTATGATATAAGAACAATGAATGAACAACACATCGTAACAAAACACAGGGGGTTTGGTAGGAAAAAGGACCCAAACTGGTATCAAAGTTTAAACCAAAAACAAGCTTTATTCTCAAGCTGATACGAAAGGGGGACCAGGTAATATAAAAATCACAGAACAAAGAAAAACGAACAAGCACTAACCACAAAACACGAGGAATAGGAGCAAAAACACGGACAGGGACAGGCAGGAAAACATTGTAAAGCATTACATCTTAACAAACTAGATCATAATGCATTAGATCATCATGTATATTTTTATCAAATGTTTGTAATATTAATGCAATAAATAACACCAAATCAAAACAACTCATGTTACATGCCACACAACGTACCATGAAGTAACGCAACTTGTCCAAACAAGTAATAATGACACTAATAATGATCAGAATCTAAGAAAATAAATGTATTGGAAATCAATGAATAACTCCAACACACACCGACACACACTCCAGCACTTGTGTTACGCCACACACACTGATCTTGTGTTACGCCACACACACTGATCTTGTGGTACGCCACACACACTGATCTTGTGTAACACCACACACACTGATCTTGTGTAACACCACACACTCTGATCTTGTGTAACGCAGTGGCGAGCCGTCAGGGCTCTCTAGGCCCTCTCTGAGGGCCTAAGATATTCTACAAAATAATATTTAAAAACATTTAAAACAAATATTTTTTTTGAATATATTTTTTTTGTTATATTTTTCATTAGTTTTACCAAAATAACTTGATTTAATTGTATTTAAAATAACATTTCCAAATAAATAAATCCTTCGAATCTGCCTATTCAGTTTCTGTTTGAATGTGAAGGGTTAAATGAAAGAAGCTCGTCTATGCGAGTCACTGTGAAGACAGGAGCTGATTGGTGGTCCTGCGGTAAATTCACAGAGGGCCCGCTATAGTAACTGAACGAGAGAGTAATGTCAAATGACAGTACAATTGACCAATCATATCTTCCCTCTAAATGGGTGGGTTTTATTATTGCGCACTCTATGACAAGTGTTGTGCGTCGGCAACTGTGTTAAATATTTTTTGTTAGCTTAGATATTTATGTTCCACTTCCTGTTTTATTTTGTATTCACCATGTCTCGTTTCTGGTTCCTTTTCTTCCTGTCTTGGTTGTTTTCCCGCCATCGTCAGTGTCTGCCCCGCCCCTGATTGTTTCTACCTGTGTCCACTTTCCTCGTGTATATAGTCCTGTCTCCCTTTGTTTGTTGCCAGATTGTCTTATGCCAAACTCTCCAGCGTTTTCCTATTGCATCTAGTTATTGTTACAGTCATTGTCCACATCTATAGTTATAGTAAGGTAAAGATCAGGTATTAGTATTTTTCTAGGATTTAGTTAGGTAAGCATTAGATTAGATTATTTATTGTAGGTATTTTTGTATTGGGTTATTTACAGGTGTTGTTTTGTGTGGTAGAGGGTCGCTTTCATTGATGCGTTTTGCACCCCGGGCCGTTGTTTTGATATTCCGCTGAAGTATACTGTGACGTAATAACTATTTTTTTTTTTTTCTTCGAGGGAAGGGGTGGGGGTCAGAGGGCCTATGTATAAAAGTCACGGCTCGCCACTGGTGTAACGCCACACACACTGATCTTGTGTCTGACCTCTCTCTTTCATTTGAGAATGAATTCTTCAGTCTTCACTTTACTGACCCAATCATCGCTCTCGTTCCAGCCTCGTTCTCCTTCCCGGC